GATTTCTCAAATCGCTTGTGGAAAAGAAAGAAGGAAAAAAACCATAGAGAATGATTCAAATAGAATAGTATAGAGCAGAACATACTCCAACAATCTACGTTTCACATAGATATGCCTTTTAATTTCTGTAAAAATGCCGCATTCACATGTATATAGCGCGGATGCACTTTCTTTGAACCTTCGGTTCTGCTAGGAGATTCGGTATATTTCCATGGAAAGCAAATGAAAACAGAGTTTTTGCTCGGGCACTACGAAAACTGCTCAACACAATATGTTTATGATCACTTTGAGATGGTGAGAAGAAGACTGTCAGTCTTCAGAAACTGTTAGCAGCGTCCTATTCCAATAGTTTGAGGAACGAAATTCCGAGCGAACTAATTTTCTAGCCCCAAATGAATTTTGGGGTTGGAATAGCAGAGAGGCCAAGAGGCACCGCCCCATACTTAGAGCTTCCGAACTCATCTAGGCTGGATAAGTTTTCTACCAGTAGATATTTTGCTACGAAAAGAAGCACCAAAATAGGCAAAGCTTGACTACACAGGCAATTTTCTTCAAGATCAACCATGCAATCGAGAGGTTTCCTTGTATAACTGTTGAATGTACTGCGTACCCTCAAAAAATGGTTTGACGTACAACACCTCCCCTTTAGCTTTTTCTAAAAAATACGCGAACGTATTTTATGTTATTAGCGAAGCGTTCTTTTTCAAAGCCCACGCTGGCTGCCTACGTGCAGCGCCAGTCGCGAACGGAGGTGGGGACTAGGATGTTTTTCTCCCCCAATGAATGCATTTTTTGCCGTCTCCGCTGAAATGTTCACTTTTTTCCAGCATCGCTATCTTCGAGCGATACGTAGCGAGCAGAACTGCTTTGCACTTTTAGAGGGACGGTTCTCAGCAAAGACATTTATACATAGATAATAAACGGATCGTTGAACAGAATTATTGTTAGTGAACAAATATGTAATGCTGTGAAGATATGGAAAGAGAAAAACGAGGTCCAACGGAAGCTGTTCTGGACGTTTAGCTGGGCATAGCGCCTGAAAGGGATATCCGTTGTTTCCGCTGAACAGCGCAAGCGAAAACTGGTGGCAAGCCTGAACTATAGAAAATGTTCATTCGAAGAGTGAAAAGAAATTAGTGCGAATTGGTCGGGGGATAGGTAAAGTTCCACATCCCTAAGGATGAAGGATACCAGCTCAAAAATTCCACTTCGCTTGATCACTTTGGCAAACGCAGCCAAAGTTTTCGTGTGATTCTCTAACGAAAGAATAGCTCAGCGCTCGTGGTATGAAACATTCCGGAGCAATGCCCTATAGTAACTGTTTTGCTAGTAAGCTATAAAATCTGCAAGTAAGTTTTTAGGTAAACTATATAGTAAAGGGATAATATGTAGTGGCATGGGGACAACTGGAAGTACGAAAAGGGAGTATAATATATGAAGAAAGAAGGCGAAGTTCGGAATCGCGTCATCATACAAAGGCCACACCGAGAAGTAACGCTCACATTTAAGGTCGTCTTCTCTCCCTTGAAGACTAACACTTGGTATCAGGGTTGCATGAAAATTAAAAATACGGCACTGCGTATCGCATGGCTTACAGGAGTCATTGCATTCAATGAATGCCCATCCAATTAAGACCAAATTTTGAAAAAGAGGCTGAGGTGTACAGTGTTCTCATCGAATAATGTTGATCGGCCACGAGAACTTTATCACTTGGAGTAAGTAGCAGCATCCGTAAAAATAGTCCAACATGATTGGCTGGTCCATCTTTTTTACATGGTCTACCGGATCATTTATTTTTCTGAGTTTACGGATTAACCCACTACTTCAGTGCTTGGCATTCTTCATGGGTTGCGTTTGAGGAAAGCGAAGGAAAACCATCGGAGAAGACCATCTAACATAATCATAAGTAAATAAATAAAGGACGCAGAGAAATGCAGAGAGACAAAGGAACGCAGACATCATAATCTTTGGATTAGTAGTGTCAGAAAAAAGAGTACTGTTCGGTTTCAGGAACAACTACATTGAAAGCAGAGAAGGTCATTTGAGCCGGCTTTTGAGAAGTAGAGGTTGAAAAAGCTCGAAATTGTGAGGTGTAT